GTCGCTATGTTTTGTAGTTCAGGCCTTTAGTATCTATATATAATCGCTCAGTCATACGAATTAGTTAGGCCGATCTGTAGCAGCCACAGAATTGAGTTATATATCAAACTAAAGTGCAAGCTGCAGTTGCAGTTGACCATGTTTGTCAAAAAAGTAAAAGGCGGCAGAAAAGTCGATAGTGAGTAACATAATCTATTGAAAAATATTGACCATATTTCCGTAGAATTGAGATTCGGAAAAGTTATTAGGTATTATTCATAGTTTTGAACTACATTTCACGAAAGCAAAAAATAAAAATAGCTGAGATCCCTTTCTTTTTTAAACACCTAGCATATCACTGACCATTAAAAAGGACCCTGAATGACCGCAAACCTCAAAGCTTTACACATTTTTGTATGTGATTTTTAAAATGAACGATCCAAAATTAGCCGGTATACATATTTAAAATTGTACTGAAAGGGTTAACCCCAAAAGTATAATCTACGTCTACGAGGTGTATACGGAATGGGTCCTTTTTTAATTTTAGCACAAAATTTACTTTTTATTTTGTTGTTTTAAATAAATGTGGTTATAGTTTTTATTAATAAAACTATGCTTTATTATTAGTCAAACTCACAACTTCAATATTCTTTAAAAAGTAAGGCAGGACTAAGTATATTTTAGCTCACAAGTTATCTTTTAAGTACATAAGCCTCTAAGGCGTATGTTAAGGCCTTACGTTACTTCCAAATAGATTCGGCTTCTAGGGTTAAGAAAGCTTTAGTTTGAAAGTGTGATATTAAATGCTTTTCACCATAAACGGCGCAAATTTTAAATGATTATTGCGTTTCAGATTAAGACTAATGCCAGATATTGTGAAAGGTTGGACTATACCTTAAAGATGACGGTTTTCTCATGGCCCACTGCACGAAACTTAGAGTAGAGTTATGTCTTTTAAGAACTTAAAAATTATTTTGGGTCATCAGGTGTCTAGCAATACATAGTGTTGTTCCGATACGACCGTGTACTCGATACTTGTACTCTTTAAAAATATTGAAGACAAGTATCGATGCCACAAATGTATCGGAGAGAAGTACTCGATACTTACTCATATCGAACTCATTGTAAATACTTATGTCATGTGAAGAAAACAGAATCGGTTCGAGTACTCTCCGACCAAAACTTACCGAAAAAGTAGCCACAAGTTAGTATCTTGCAAAATTTCAATAATTTACTAGTACGGGAAAGCAGGATTTGACACTTTCTTTATTAGCCAACTTAACGTGGTGCAAAAACCACAACAGCATGATTCATATATTGTCAGAACCGAAATTCAGAGTTTTTGGAAAAGCAAGTAATACTTTAATCGCGTACTCGATACCCACCTAAGTAATTGCGGGAAGAATTCGAACAAAAAGTACTCAGTACTTGAAGAAAGTATGGAGTAATTACTTGTAGTTACTCGTATCGGGGGGTACTCACTCCTATTTCGGGGGTTACTACTAGTTTTAATAAATTGTTAGTTTAATTTCCTATAAAATTTACCTTTATGTTTATGCATTTTAAGAATACATCGAAAATTTGTTTTAGAGAATCAATATGAAATAATTGCAGAAACGATTAACCGGTTTGCTGAGCAACCGAGACGTCTGCTTTTCAAATAATTTTTTTTAAACAAATCGGCAAGTACATATCGTCTCCCGCATGCCAGAAACATGAATGTGTAAAGATGAAAATTTTGGGGTTTTTTTATATGTTGCGCCCGCCCCTCCTAAATTCGATCCTGGCGACGCCCATGTTTCGAATGCGAATATATTACCTACATGAAAAGGAATAACTACAAAAAAAAATTACCCGATAGGTGGCGAAGCAGTTGTTTGGAATGTTGGAAACGCCGTATTTATGGAAAGAAATTACTCCACCGTTAGATGATGCAGGGGTCCATTGTTTGCATTAACCACTAATAAAAGCTTGTCTTTAAAAAAAATTTTTTACTAAATTACTTGTTTTTCAATTTCTTTCAACTGAATTCAAAAAAAAAATGTATTACATTCTCAATTCATTTCAAAGGAATCGGGAAAAAAATCAATTTTAAAACAAGAAAATACTTTGAACTTACTTGTCAGTAAGGAATTGAAAAACGAATCAATTCCTTTGCTGTGGACTGAAGGAATTGATTACTAATTACAATTCCTTGCAATTTGGAATTGAGAGTAATTTACTTCCTAAAGGAATCATTACGACCCAGCTCTGTATAAAATGCTCAAACAAATAAGAACAAAGAAAAAACTTGTGGAATCAAAGCTGCTCCGTTTGGTAGAAAATTGATATAAACGCCTTTTTTATTGACATAAAAAACAAGAATGTACTAATATGGATTTCTTTGCATAAGGATCTCCAATGAAATTCATGAAATACAGAAGAATTTTTAAGTCCGATGGGTGTAAGGTACACTAAAAATAAAACCTGCGTAAATATAACGAAAACCTGCGTACATCTTACGAAATTTTTCGTCATTTTGAGCCACGAAAGTTTTCGTTGATTGTACAAAACCGTTTTCGTACATACTACGAAAACATAAGGCATCAGATCTTTAGTACATTTAACGAATGCATTCGTACTATTTACTAAAGAATTTAGTACTATTTACTAAAGAATTTCGCGCTATTTCTTATTTTTTTTACGATTTTTTTTTTTAAATACACAGAAATAATTCGTATATTTAACGAAACTATTTTCGTAATATCTGCGCTTGTTTCGTAGAATATGCGATTGCTTTCATTCTCCACACTGTAAAAAACATATTACGAATTATAACACAACACTTTTATTTTGTTTTTATCGTTAATTTTAAGCGTTTTTGTTCAACAAAATGTTTTGCAAAACGATGATTAAAATATAATGAAAGTGTTGTGCTATAATTTGAGTCATGTTTTTTGTAGTGTTAATAATAAAAGCAATCATACATTCTACGAAAGAAGAAGAATATTTTGACTACACTGTAGTTTAAAATTTATAAAAAAGGTTATTTAGCTATGTTTAAGCGACTTATGCATTTCCAAGTGCAGCGAACAAACACACGCACTTGCGTTTAAAATTAATTCACTCGTTCTTAATTGGCTATGCATTTTTTATGCAATTCTAGTGAAGTGATAAGTCGGTGACATTTCCAGCCATGGTCACCGCTCAACCAGCTTGGCTATCACACGGTGCTTTAAGCATCGCTCCCACTCCACTCCCGGAGTAATTTTTGGTATGGTAGTAAGCTACGGCTTACAAGCCACACTGGGGCTCTGCATGAATGAATCCCTGAATAAATCCCAGCTCATTGCACAGCAGCCTACGGCAGCTAGAGCAAGACTCCTCCAACGGAGTCCCCCAATGGTCAACTCCAGCTTGGCTCATCACAAGGGTCAATGCTCCTATGCTTGACACCTCTCTCACCCCATGGTCAACGCTAAACCAGCTTGGCTCATCACGATGGCCAACGCTAACCCAGCTTGGCTATCACACGATGCTTTAAGCATCACTCTCACTCCACTCCCGGAGTATTTTTGGTATGGTAATAAGCTATGGCTTACAAGCCACACTGGGGATCTGCATAAATGCATCCCTGAATAAATCCCAGCTCATTGCACAGCAGCCTACGGCAGCTAGAGCATGACTCCTTCAATGGAGTCCCCCAATTATTATATGGTAAAAGGGTCACATCTTGCGCTGCCGCTTCACCAGCCTGCCGGCATATCTCACCCTCTCTCTCTCTCTCTCTCTCTCTCTCTCTCTCTCTCGCATAGCAGGCATATGGAGTGCGTGCTTGCCTTGATGTGCACCTATAAACCATACGGGCTCATTGAGCTCGATAAATAACCACTCATAAAGGTAATCCCTACCTCCTCTACTACTCTAACTCGACCACAACTCTAAACCTGGTCTCCCGCTCTCCCTCAGCTAAACATGGTCCTTCGAGCCGGATCACCCACGGCTTATGATACAGTCTACTAGACGATCAAGTCGTCTAGGGAGCCAGGACGTTTAAGCGACTTATGCATTTCCCGCATAAACAAAGAAGCAGCGAACTCACACACGCATTTGTATTGCATTTCACGCACAAACCAAGTGCAGCGAACACACACACGCGCTTGTATTGCACTCCCGCACAAAACCAAGTGCAGCGAACAAACACACGCACTTGTGTTTAAAAGTAATTCACTCGTTCTTAATTGGCTATGCATTTTTTATGCAATTCTCAAATATCTCTTCGCGGAACTTAGTGAAGTGATAAGTCGGTGTTATTTCCAGCCATGGTCAACGCTCAACCAGCTTGGCTATCACACGGTGCTTTAAGCATCGCTCCCACTCCTCTCCCAGAGTAATTTTTGGTATGGTAGTAAGCTACGGCTTACAAGCCACACTGGGGCTCTGCATGAATGCATCCCTGAATAAATCCCAGCTCATTGCACAGCAGCCTACGGCAGCTAGAGCAAGACTCCTCCAATGGAGTCCCCCAATGGTCAACTCCAGCTTGGCTCATCACTAGGGTCAATCCTCCTATGCTTGACACCTCTCTCACCCCATAGTCAACGCTAAATCAGCTTGGCTCATCACGATGGTCAATGCCAACCCAGCTTGGCTATCACACGATGCTTTAAGCATCACTCTCACTCCACTCCCGGACTATTTTTGGTATGGTAGTAAGCTATGGCTTACAAGCCACACTGGGGATCTGCATAAATGCATCCCTGAATAAATCCCAGCTCATTGCACAGCAGCCTACGGCAGCTAGAGCATGACTCCTTCAATGGAGTCCCCCAATTAATATATGGTAAAAGGGTCACATCTTGCGTTACCGTTCATCAGCCTGCCGGCATATCTCACTCTCTCTCTCTCGCATAGCAGGCATATGGAGTGCGTGCTTACCTTGATGTGCACCTATAAACCATACGGGCTCATTGAGCTCGATACTAACTCGACCACAACTCTAAACCTGGTCTCCCGCTCTCCCTCAGCTAAACAAGCTATAATAAAACTTAAGTCTTTTATTTATATGCATGCGGATAGGTTCCATACTACATATTTTTTCATTGCTTAGGCTTCATTCAATAAAGTATATTAATGCGAAGTGTTAAGATATAAAATATGAAAGAATATAAAAATACTGGTTTTACTTTCTTATACATTATAGTATTTTTATGTAGAGGTACTTGACAGATTCACAGCTTCATCGATATTTGTTTCCTTGCCGACTATAGATTAAAGGAAAATTATAAGGCGTCTGAAAAGCAAGTTTCAGTGAAAAATCATACATGTACTTACTTTTTATTTCATTCAGTAGTGCTGCTGGCCGTTGATAGGTAACTGATGAAATTACCTATTTATCAAGTCCCACATTGCAGCGAAAGGCGCAGCGTAGGCGATGTTAAAAACATTGTATGCTTAAAAGCATAATATCCACAGCTTTAATATTTAAAATTATATTATACGTCTCACAACAGCCAACAACTGATTCCGCAATGACACGCGATACATAAAAATATGACAAAATATTAAACTACCGGCAATTTAGTATATTGTACGAAAATATTCGTATGTTGTACGAATTTAAAAAACATGTTTCTGCATTAGAAATTTATACGAAAGTATTAACTAAATTGTACGAATACAGAATTGTAGATTTCGTAAATTTTAAAACCATACGTAAATATTACGAATGCCTTCCTACAATATACAAATTTACTCATACAGAGATTTGTTCAGTGCTTTACGAATGTGTTTCGTAAAACAAACGTATGATTTCGTTAATTGTACTGAAAAAATGCCTTACGAAAGTCCTTTCGTTATATTTACGTATGGTTCGTAAAATCTTGTTTCGTTGTGAAAAATGTGCTCGTATTATGAACGAAAGTTTCGTACATTGTACAAAAACCAAGACTACGAAAGTTTTTCGTAGCTCTTTTAATTTTATTTTCAGTGTAGTGATTTTTGTTAAAACGGCCGTTTTACTGTTTTTATCTCATGGACTAAACACAATTAAGCTAGGTGGCTCTAATGCGGTGATGGGAGCGCTTTGCTTGCGAGAAATCCTGATGGTTTCCAGTATTCATTGGCTACTGAAAACTTTTTTCTTCTCGGTGGGGCTTTGATTTAAGGCTCCTTGTTGTTTCTTGGATGGTCAACACTTTCGATTGATTTACAGTGTAGGGGAGTCGTAAAGATATCTCTAGCCTCATTTCAGGTGAAAAAACTTATTAGTGTTAGGCATATGGTATCCTCTAGTATTGCTATCACAACTTAGTATTTGTTATCAAAAGTGAGGAACTATACAATAGCGTGGGCCGAAAATCCGCTTTTTTAGAATTTTGATTGGTAATAGCAAAAATATGGTTCAGTATGCTTACAAAAAAATCTGTATGAAATTTGGAATTTTTTGGTCAACATCCTAGGCTCGCCCAAGTCCATCAAAGTTCAATATGCTCATAAAAATAAAAATTAATAAATAAATGGCTTAATACATTTTTTTACTAAAATTGCAATAATCTTCGAAAGTATTAGTCCGACATAATTTGGTACATGGACCCTTTTTGTAGAGAATCGAAGTTAGCTAAGAAAAAAATTCTTTTAGTACTTGAACTTTGATGGACTTGGGCGAACCTAGGATATTGACCAAAAATTTTCATATTTCACACAGAGCTTTTTTAAGAGCATAAGGAACCATATTTTTGCTATTACCAATCAAAATTCTAAAAAAGCGGACTTTCGGCCCACGCTACTATACAATAGTCCGTGCTGATAGGTTTAGAGATAATCGACGATATACCTCGAATAACCAAATGGCCTGAGGTTTCCTCGATCTATAAGCCGGCTTCTTTAAGTCTTACTGCTGCAATAAGGGGCACTTCTCGAGCAACTAGTTCACTTTAAAAATGAATGCATTTACAAATTACCACAAGATTTCAACATAAATTTAAATATATATATACTACTACAACTACTACTACTTTTTTGACCGTAACTATTTGTACATGTATATGTATATTCCCCTTGTAATGTGCCTCTATTAGTAACACTGATGCTTTTTATTTATTTAAATTATTATTTTTTCGCTAGTTTTTATTGTTTTTTGTTGTTGCTTGTTTTCCAAAAACATTGCTGTTCGTTGGCCAAAGACGTCCTCGTAGTTGAACTTATTGTTTCTGTGTTCTAGGCACTGCCGACGCTCTTTTGTTTAAATTAATGGCAAGTCTTCGCGATTTCCATTCATTTCCCTCGCTGTCTCCTCGCCCCTCTTTTCTATTGCAAACAAGTGCCTGTCCCTTTTCTTCCCATTTATCGGATTTTTGCAGCCGCCACCGTCGCTTATTAGCCCATGATGAAAATTCTGACAATAATAAATAACGCCAAAAATATAAACAATATTGCACACGGCCACCATCAACTAGTAGCCAACCAAACAACTGGGCAACGAAGCGTTCGAAATCCACATAGTCCGCACGCGAATTACCGCAAACGCCTCGACGACACAGCATTTAAATTTAGTTTCCTTTCGTTACGGTTTCCAATGGTCTATTTTGGTTTTCATGCTCGTTTTATATTATGTTATTATCGTACTTATCTAATTTCAGTCCTCTTTACATGTAAAAAAAGCAACAACAAGAATAACAAAACCACCATGATACTTTTCATTGCCATTGACTCGGAGACGGGTGGGAATCATTGAGCGGACAAAAAGGCGGGCAATCATGCATTTAACCGCTCGCTGTTTTCCACGCTAGTTGGCAGGCATACTCTGACTAAAACAAAACGAAGAGAAAAAAAACTTGGAAAAGATCGCAAAAATGTATACACAAAATGTATACGGTGGCGATAATGTTAATAGGGAAGAGACATTTTGGCAAGTTTTGGCTACTTGTTTAACAATTTTTATTATTTTTTATGAAAATATAGCTTACTATTCAAATCAACGGTAAGTCCAAGCTTCTTAAAATTTGCACTTTGAATTGAATGGACTACTAAACTGCATACCCGTTTCTAAGAAATCCAATTAAAAAGCTCAAAATTTTTATGAAACTTTGTCGAACTTAGCTAATTTTTGTACAAGGTTTGAAATATTGACTTGCATGATCTTTGTTAAATGTGTTCTTACGCGATATGTATTTGCATGTGTACATGCCACTTTTTACATATGGAAATGCCAACATATCGTGTAAAAGCAAATTAGATTGGTTTCTGCACAATGCAGATGCACGTACATACGAAATAGAAATACTATTTTCATCTGGCACACAGATAGAATCATCTGAGTTTAGTTTATTTCTTTTTCAAAGAACGTATTTTTAAATAGTTAAGTAAAGACTTGTAAGAAAAATTGTTTTTAGGTCAGAGTACAGGGAGACTTTTTTTAAATTAATAAAGAAAACGCTGAAAATCGGGATATAATCGGTAGAAGTATAAAAAATCGGGACACTTATACGTTCCGACTTTTAAAAATTATTCAGCGAGACAATTTTCTCAAAATCGGTACTGTCCCGCCAAAATCGGCACGAATGGTCGCCGTAACCATAGGTCTAACTACCGCTGTGTATACCTAATGTGACCGACTATTTCATAGCTCAAAGAAGTACAGGTTAGGCTGGGTTAAGTTAACACCGCGAGCCAATTACGAAATTTCGAATGCGGCTAATTTCGTTCCCTAAGAGCTCAGTGTTTGTTCAGAAGTGCGAGCCAAAATGCTTCCATCTTAGCCTCGCGTAGGTTGGACAGTCTAAAAGAAAGTGTGGATATGATTTCACTTCATCTTCCTCTTGACAGCTGTTAAAAAGGATCAGTTGAAATTCCTAGATACACCGCATGCATACCAATCGCACAATGGCCTGTCAGAACCCCCATAACTAGCCCTTGAGAGGTAACGTGTTTTAAAGTGCCCTATAAAAACAGTTGCTGCAGCAGAGAAACGTCTTCTTTTCCTTTTTATGTTGCAAAAGGACCCGGTTTCCCTTAGCGCAATAGCATTTCGTACTGCGACATTCCAGCATTTCTGTCTGCAATATCCGCAGGCGCCGTGTTCAACATATGTGTGTTAAGCGCCAGTGTAGGTGTGGTTCCTAATGCTCCGCTAATTCCTATTTTACAAGTGTAGCCTTCCCTAGTGAGTTCCACCAGACAAGGGCTCCTTGAAACAATACAGGCTTAGATCTGGTTTCCTAGAGCTAATGAATTAATTTAGGTGAGAGACCTCACCTTTTACCGATAGCTCCCCTACAGCAGTACAAGGCAACCGACACCTTTTTTACCCTTTCCACATCATCTACATAGGCTATCACCCGACAGCCCACTTTTTCCAGTTTCTCTAGAAGGCCATTTGCATCCACAATCCAGAGCAGGGGAGAGAGAACAACACCTTGTGGAGTGCTCCTAATGACTCTGCACTGAGTGCAGGCCTCCCCCACTCCGCCACTCCACTAATCTTTATGCGTGAAGGGTTCCTCTGACCACTTTACCAATGTGTTGAGCTCTTGAAAGACAGTCACGAGGAATCGCGTTTCTTATGTACAAGTCGATCAGTCTCTCTGGCGTTTTTAGCAAAAACGAAGAGAAACTGGTAGGCCTAAAATATCTAGGGGAAACATGAGAGCCTTTTCCGGCCTTCGGGATGAGCGCAACACTGACTACCCTCCAAGCCTTGGCGATGTACCCGGTCCTCACGCAGTTCGCATAAATATGACTTTAATAGTTTGAAAAAATTTATCGCCCAGTCCATGTGGCGATCGTCCAGAAAATCGGAGAAGTACAGGACCTGGGCGGAGATTCTGAAACCAGTTAGCGACAATTTTCGAATTGCTATCACACTTTTTGACGCAAAATATCGATAGCGATCCGAAAATTGTCGCTAACTGGTTGCAAAATCTTCCTCCTGAAGTACAAAATAAAGCAAAGAAGTACATTTGACTGTACTTCGAAGTACGAAGTACAAGAGCGAAAACAGAAGTACTGTACTTCCGAAAGAAGTACGGTTGGTCTCATTATGTATACCCAATGGACATATTATCTACGGTTCTTTCCAAGTGTACTCTCGCAGAAGTTCAGCGCTTTTCCTCTCTGCTATATAATATCACTTTTCTAGGAAAGTTTGGAGTCGAGAATAAACCCCAAAAACTTCGCCTCTTTAGAACTTTTAAGATAACATGAACATTAAGAATAGGAGATGGCATAGCTTGGTAAAAGTATGTTCGTCTCACACTTGGTCAATATTTGCCAGTAAATTAAAAAAAAAAACGGGGACGAACGGAAATCGGGAGCCGAAGAGTTCTGCAATTGAGAACGTTAGGACTAAGGACCGAGGAATCATTGAGAGTTTGTG